AAGTGATATGAAGTTCAAAGATGTCCAGGCCTTCCAAGGAAGAGAAAACTATTTTTGTCATATTATGTCATTCAGTTATTCATCATATATGATAATTTATTCATGTATTAATTTATGCATATATATTTAATAATACTATTAGTGAACATATGAATTTTTTTCTTTTCTATTCAATGTGGTTAGGTAAATACAATTTCAAATAGCTCAATCTAATCTAATTGAGCTTCCGACTTTCTAAACCCGTTGGAACCTTCCTGAAGGAAGATGACATAGAATAGGACCATCTCTCACAGAGCCAGCATACAGAATTGCCAAAATTGGATCTGTGAAGAGCTGGCTCCTGAAACCTTAAACCACTTTAAGAAGCTAATGCTTAATGAGTCTTAAAGTAAATATAACTTTATATAGCTATATTTAAGGGACTTAAAAATACTTAAAAATAAAACTATTCAGAAACACAATAAATTATTTTAGATATAAGTAGAAATATTGAAAAAGAAACAAAACTACTTAATGTGATTTGTACTAATTTGAATTTTCCTATTATAGTGAAAAAAGTTAATGGATTCATTTATTTTCAAGAAATGTATTCAATAGATCAATAACTAAGCCTCAGCAGTGCTTGTTTAGAGGTATTATAATTGGTCATACAATGTGCTGCAGGTTGGGAACAATAGAGAAATATTAAATAATTATTTAAGAATACATCTTACCTATCTGATTTCTTCCTGAAGAGTAAAATGCATTGACTACAGCTGCTCCGCTTATCCACCTGCAGAAAGCATAAGAACTCATTGAACTCATTACAAATGATACTGCATTATCTGATTCAATCCACTCATACAATTAAAGCTTTATTACTATTCCGAGATTAATCTTACCTATCTGTTTGAAATATGATCAACAAATAAAAATTGGTGAGAGCTCTTTTGAAAGTATTTCTATTTCTTGAAAAACATCAGCATGTATTCAAGTCCGTAATCTTTTATTTGCATGAATTTTTATGGAGGCATCTGATGTTGCAAAACCTATTAAAATGTATCACTTCAGAAATTGCAATGGGTTAAGATTGCATTAAAATTTATTTAGCTTTATGTTCCTGATACTAGGTAACTATGACAACGATTGTGGAGCAGTTGACAGAATACTGAAGTGTGGATCATTAAAACTTCAGATTCAAGTATATTAAAAATAATTAATTCCCGGTTTACAGAGAACCTTTTTGGGAACTAAGATATCTCAAGTAGTTGTCTCAGAGTAATATGTCTCTGATTATTGCCACTTACAAGTATTTTCAAAAAACACAACATTCCAGCTAATTGAGCAAAGAAATCTTTTTGTACGCCTTTAAAACACAACCCAGGTCATTTTTAAGTAGAGTTGTCTGTCTGTCTGTCTATACCATATCTTAGGCTCTGTATAGAATCTAGAGATGTTATAAAATACAGCTCCTAACTTCAGGAAACGATAGTTCAGTTGAGGAGATGGGTAAAATGCATAAATAACTATGGGATGAATGAGAAAATGGAAAAAAATGGCTCCTGCATGATAATTTGAGGGATGAGGCTAGGAATCAAAGTTCCCATGGCTTTCTGCTCAGATGTTATGAAGACTGCATATTAATAATCATGTGTTAAAAAATTTTGTGCAACAGAATTAAAGTTCTCATCTTATAAGACTATTACATATATCATTATTTACTCACTGGAAAAATGGACACTGCTTGACGTCAAATAACCTTTTAAATGTCAGTTCTCATGCATGCACTTAAGATAATCATATATCATCCACTAATGGCTTCACTGCAGTTGTTCTACTTTCATGGCAACAGTTAGTAAGACTATTATTATCCTACTCACAGAAAAAATGTACAGTAATTAGTACAATGAGGTTATATCAGAACTCTTTCTAGACCCTGCTTTGCAGAGGAGCTGTACAAAGTCAGCTGCCCAAATCAGCACTTTAGTTACAATGTCATTAACTATTGTGGGGTGTTAGAGGTAAATTTTATTTTGATCTCTTAAAAATAACTAGCAGAGGGCAATAAATAGCAACTGACTGATAAATTCTAAGAATGGGTTTTCTCTCCAACAACTCAATAAGACATTTTATATAAAGGATGTGGGACTTTTAAAAAACAATCTAGTTAACATTTCTGTCAAGTTTTCTTAGGGAAGAAAATAAGCTTGGAGATGGGGAGGAATGATTGATCAATGTGTTTCTTCCTTAGTTTGTGACTGCTGTTGTTTTAAATTGAGAAAGCATTTTTAAACAGGATGGGGGGACTGATATATCAGTCCTCCTTAATTTCCTCACAGCTGAGTAATCAGCAGTATTTTAATATTTCTTGCAGGTTGATGATTACAACAATATAATTGTATTTATTTTAATTAAACTCTATTTGCTTCCCACATAATTTGTGGTAACTCACAAGAAAAACATGTAAACCCAGGGATATTAGACTAGAACTGAGAGATCAGAAACTATGTAGAACAAGTAGATTTCATTTATGTGACTAAGAAATATAAAAGAAAATATTTATATAAACAAAAATCATGATTAGAAAATATATTATGACTATGTTTATATATATTCAACCAGTTACTATAATTCAGGTTCAGATATGATATGAAGCTGCCTGGCAAGAAAGTCAAAATGGAAAATATGCTCTTAGTACTCCTAGGGGGAAACATTGTTCCTCGCATAATTTGAAAAAGGTAATTCTGATGTGTCCTCAACATTTTCATAGCAAACATGGCAGCAAATTTTACATGTAAATAGCTTATAGTTTTTAATTGCTGTAAAAGTTAATTTAAAAGATACCTAGATCCCAGTGGTTTTAGGGTTCAGTTTCTCAGTTGTGAACTTCTGGTTTAGTGACAGTAAATTCTACATGGGCTTTTACAGGTCCTTACAAATAATGGTTGCAGATTGAGTCTGGACTAGTCAAAAATCTGAATATTGAAATAGAAAAGATGCCAATCCAAATTGTTTAAATTGTTATTACAGAGGGGAGGAACTAGATATATGAAACTAATGTTTCAGGTAACAGTAGATCAGAAAAATAGGACACAAATGAATGAGGTTTATATATTATCCATCTTGTGTCTATTGCTTTTGTAAAAACATTTGTTTTTACAAAAAAAATGTAAAAAAAAATGTAAAAAAAAAAAACAACTTTTTTTTTTTAGTGTTTTTCTGCTCTTCTGTTACATTACTGTGAGGGCTTTAAGACTGCATTTTGATTTATGTTTTTAACTTTCCAGCAGGGAGAGTTTTGCATATTAAAATGTCCTCTGTGAATTATACCTTCAAGAAAATAGATAGCTATTTATGACCATCAAACATTCAAATAAAATTAGAATTATGGCAGTTGGGCTTACACAGCATGAATGTATAGGTATTTGCCTTTTCTTCTTTGAGATCTTTCTTGATGTGTCCTCAAACCACTCTGGGGAATTACCAAAAGCACAGGACATTTCGTCCCTGCTAATGATCAGAACTAGAATTATCGTGATTAGACCATCACATCTTAAATAGGGTAATGATAACAGCTATAGACTGAATGTCTAATATTTGTGGTCAACCACGAAATATCTCACAATGTTGATGTAAAAGCTAAATTAACAAGGCCAACTAAACAGTGATGTAACAAAAACTGTAAGTTCTTTTGATTTGAATGCGGTCCAAAGTTGACCCTGACTGGCAACAGAGAGAGGATAAAATTCACACAGAAGAGAAAGTGAAATGGTGGTGATTCTTGCCGTAAAATAATAGATAGTGTAGGCTACCTGAAGGTGTCTTTGAAGTGTAGAGGCCAAATGCTAACAGCCTCCACAGAGCACTATCAGACTTGAGAGATGAAGCACTGTGTTCTTCCATTTCTCAACCTTTCTCCAGTGGTCTGTATGTATATGAACGTGGGGTATATGTGGTATGAAGTGAAGAGTTGGGAAGCAGGAAGAAAGAAACTGTATTTTTAATTCTGAGATGTAATTTTGTCAGGTAAGCTTATTTTTGTTTGGGAGCATTCGGCAGTAAAGCAAAGAGGGGCCACTAGAAGCAGCATGGCTCCTCAAAGCTGAGCTAACAATGTGGGTGGGGAATAGAACTGAAATATACTTGACAGAGGAGCCAGGTGTTCCTTTTCTAACTCTTATTACCCCGAAGAAGCTTAGTGCTGATGAATTTCACACACACATAGTAGTGTGCAGAAATCATTTTAATAGCTGGGAAGAAAAGCAGAAGACAACAGACTGATCCTATAGCCTTTTGGATATAATAAACGCACTAGATTGCAAAAGCACCTAGAATAATTTTTTTTTCACCTACTCTTGTGTAACTTAAAAATTTAAAACAACAAAATTGTTAATGCGCCTTTACTGCAAGTGTTCAATTTCTCAGCATTTAGTAGTCTCAAAGCAACTCATTTGAAATCAGCAGTGCAATATGATAGTTTTTCTCTGTCTTCCTCCAGTCCCCTGGGTGGAAAGAATTCTTATCTTAAAATCACAACATCACTGCAATCCTTTACATTTATCAGTATTCTCTCATCAAGACTTCAAAGTTTTCCATATACTTTCATTCATCTTTGAAACCATCCATATAATATGTTTGCAGGTACAGAAATTGAGGCACAATATGGTTATTAAACTCTTTCCTAATATATATACAAACTAAGTTATATAATTGGGAAAATAATGTTTAAACTAAGAAAAACAGGCACCTGCTCACCTTCCAATCAAATCTACTCCTAAGCTGTGGATCTGCATCATACACAAAATTTCATTACAGGGATTAATGCCATTTTCTTGCCATCCTCTTCAAAAATGAAGGTGATCATTTCTTGCTACTATGTCACACTGGGTTACTATTTAACAAGCACCTAAGTTATGTGCCAGGTGTGTGACACAACATACAACACAACCATGCAAGACAAAAGTGAAGTGATTATCACCAGATTATAAAGAAAATATCTAGGTTCAGAGGTAGGAGGCAAAGCAGGAATTCTGACTCAGGTCTACTCCCCTCATTCCCTGACTCCACAGTACAGGCCCTTCCCAGTGATCTGTAAGTGTAACTTTTTACACAAAGGCAAAAGCACAGTAGGATCAAAGAACTTCTAGTGTTGTGTAATGGTTGTTAACACAACTGAAATACTCCCAGTGACTTGCCTGAATCTGTCTGAGGCTAAGACTCTCATTCTGACACTAACCTGGGAGAAGCCACTTCTCTTTCAACAAAAGGTAATGGAAAATTACCACTTCTTTCTTAGATGTTACCAGTTGTTTGCGTATAGTTCTGCTTGGCAATAAGGCATAATATTTTTAGTCTTTGCTAGCCTTATATGTGTACATGCACATATGTGTGCACACACTCTTGGTATGCTAAATTCAGAGAAATTCCCAATTTCAGAGACACATGAATAGATGGATTGTTTCTGTCAGAATTTTCTCGGGTGACCTTTCTCCTGAGTTAAAGTAATTCTGAGAACTTCCAGGAACTGACCGATTCCATACTATATAACACTCAGTACTTATGTAACTTGACATAAGACTATTGTCTACCTAGCTCATGAGAAGGTAACTCCATGAAGGCAGGAATATTCCATGTTTTGTTCTTAATTGAATCCCTAGGGCTAAGACCCAGTGGTGGGAGCATAGTGGGCACTCAGCTCTTTGGGCCTTGGTATATCATTTGGTCCTCCAAGCTCCCGGAGGGCTGACCCATTTTATGCGGTGACTCTAAGAAGGCAGAGGGCACCGTTGCAATGCACATTGTAGCAGAAGCTGTGCACCACTGAATGTTGTCCTTTCAAGAGATTATACTGAAATAAACGTATCAGAATTCTTTTGGAAAGTTCGTTCGGTTTAAATGGAAGTTTAGGACCTTTTAATTGTGTTGTTTGAAGATATACTTTTTGTTTTGTTTTGTTTTTAAAAAGAACTACCTGAAACTTCAACCTTTAAATTATTCAGCTTCCTTTTCTAATTCCCCTTCCCCCTCTGGAAAACAAAGCTAAACTAAAATAAACAGAATCCCTCATCAAATGCTAACTAAAAATCAGAAATCTTTTTGCCAATAAAACATATTTTGCTTACAACCCTAAAACACATGGAAAATCTGCAGACTTTGTCGGCTTAATGGAAGCATAAATGGCAAAAATCTAAAATTTTCATCTGTTACAACATGTGCAGAACACGAAGATGCCATGGCAGATACTGCCTTGGGAAATTAAAGTGATTTGTTCACGTTTAGTCTATCCCTTCTTTCTGGCTAATACTTGCTGAGTCAAATAATCTTTTTTACAAATCATCTCCATCTACATTTATGGAGATTCATTTGTCTCAAGTGTCCGATCTCTGCCTGTGCACCCTGCATAGACTCAACTTTCCACTGCTGGGCCATCATATTCACCCATATAGTTCTGCATAATTATTTTTCCTTTGATACCCAAGTTGAACTACAAAGAACTTAACTAGAAAGGAGATTCGTTCTAGAAACATCAGTGAAGTGGAAAAATCAGAAAAGATATTTTAGAAAGAAGCGAGGTACTTCTTTGTCACTCAAGAAGGTGTTTTTTTTTTTTTCTCTTGGGTCATTTGATATGGAGAAGCCAAAGAGGAAAACTTCTCGGCTTCTATCAAAGCTTCACAGTAAGGTCCACAGAACTTTAATGCCAGAAAGAACCTTAAACATACTCTACAGTCTAGCACAGCCTACTCGTTGTATAAATAAGGAAACCGCAGGGCTTTTAAAAGGCCACAGGTTGTGAATGGCAGAACTGGGACACTAAAAGAGTATTGGGCACTCATCTCAGTGGCAAAACTAGTGCCACTTCCCAGGGTGCCAACTGCTCTGCCATTTTTGCGAGTGCTGGCCTTTCAGGAAATTTCTATATGCACCATGGAATCACAGATGTTGAGCTGCCAGTCTTAGGGGTTCCACTTATTTCAGGGATGTGCCACCATCCAACTGGACAAGATTAGAAAAAAAACATCATGTTTGAAGCAACCAAGGGGAAGACAGATATGAGCTCATTTTTGTTTTGTCTTTAGTGAATCCTCTGTTCGCCTCAATATTAATTTAAATGCTGACATATTGATTCCAGAGGATATTTTATTAATAAGTAAAGTTTGAATTGTGGTTTGAAAAAAGTGTTGTTCTAGCACTTTGTTTCCTGGTAACAGCACCAACCAAACCCTGCCTTTCATCAGATTTGATTTTTAATCACCTGCTCCTTAAGATCATAGCCTCGAGTAAAGGGCAACATCTTATTCACCTCTTTTATCTTCTATTGTGTTTAGCACTGTGCTCTACACAGAGCAGTTGCTCAATAAATGTTTATTGACCTGGCTCCTGTCAATGTTAGTGTGCTTTCATTTTGATGCAGAACAGCCAGAGAGACGCAGAAATGAAATTCCTTTTTGTATTTTATAAAAAGTTAACTCCAGGGCTCAACAGTCATGATTCACAAACACTAGCAACAATTACATCACAGAAAGTTCTGTCCTGAGAAACTAACAAAATAACATCGTCTAAAAACACTTTGTTTTGTTTCGTTCTTGTACTTCTTTTTCTTTAGAGATTTATGTTTGCTCTATGAACTTTAAATGAAGATTCATGTTACTAAAAGTAAATATTTTAGAAATATTACTAAGTAACCAATGGATATTATATTCCTGACCCAGCACTACTTCTATGTTATAATGATATGTTTAAAATTCTTTACAAACTGGCGCCAAATCCTTAAAAGACATAATGTTTGAGATGGTTTTGGAAACACATATCAAGCAACAGAAACCACACGAACTAATATCTTTTGAAATTTAAACCCCTGTCCTTTGCAGCTGCCAGCCACTCATAAGAGCAGAGGGAGGCCATTTTAGCCAAATGATTAACTTGGGTGTCTCACGTGCAACTTCCTGACTTTTTCCTTGAATTTGTTAAAGATGATGTGCATCTTCACCAGCCATGATGGTGAAATGTTTAGATGTGACCATTCTTATTTTAGCAGCTGAGTTAGTTTTATCATCATTATCACAAATTGGCAATTTTATCATTTATTCTCCCGATAAACATTTATGAAGAGCTACATTATATTCACCAGTGTTTAAGCTCAGGTGACACAAATATCTGGTTTCTGCTTTCAACAGGGGCTACTCCAACTAAATGTAGTAAAATGTACTGGAACTTTGACCAAAATGTGCAAAGTGTAGTGCAGCCCAAGGTGAAGAGAAATATGCAGTGGGGTGCTATGAGGAAGGAGGTGATACTTAACATTTAATCGAACCATGTGTAGGTTTCTGTTAGGTGAACCAGGGCATAAAGCATGGTCCAGGGAAAGAGAGCAAGACGCGGGAAAGACAGAGAACAGATATGGAAATAATTCATATGGCTGGAACTTCGGGAAATGGTGAGATGTAGGATGAATGTGAAGGAGGTATGGAGAGCTAGTGTGGGGTATGAAGAGCCTTGGTTCTCCTTTATGATGTCACACACATAAGACAGGCAACAGGGACACACTGAAGTGTTTTCATGAGGAAATAACATGCCAATTTGTGACTTCAAAAAAAAAATATCTAAGGTAGCAATGTGGAGGATAAACTGAAGGTATATAAGATGATTAGTAATAAAAATTAGGATAATAGCTTAGATGAGTCGATGAACAATGAGAAATGTCTGAATTACAGAAGTGACCATGGGAATGGTGAGCTGGAGATCCCCTCTCCCCATTCCTACATCATATTTAATTAACAGCTGATGGATGCAGACTTTTTAAAATGGAGATTTGAATTAACTATCACTGTATATGTCAGGAATAACAGAAAGATATCAGTCTAGGATGATTAAAATGAGTCCCTGGTTTCTCTCTTGGTAGCAGTAAAATGGAGGTTGTTAGAAAATTGGCAGATATGAATTTTTGCCTAAATGACAAATGCTGTGTTTGTAGATTCAGTAAGACATCTACATGGAGATGTTTCATAAGCATCTAGACATTTGGATTTGAACCTCAGCAAATGGATCGGAGTCAGATACAAATATTCAGCTAACATGATGATGATAGAAGATATTAAGAAGTATATGAGTTTGCCCAGTGAGGGCATGTGAACTGGGGAAAAAAGTGTCTAGAGGTTTACTGTTTGGCGAATTGAACTCATATTAGTTGCTGCCTTGAAAATTTAATGCATCATCATTTCTCTAAAGTACCCTACAATATAACCCTACAAAAGTCTAAACTCTGTACCCTCAATTTTGGGTATGCACACATATTTCTCTTTCGAGACTTTGGGAGTGAGGATCTTGAGCATCTGAAAATGTAATTCTCTGAGCTGTAACTACAGGCTATGTGAACAAGTAGAAGCAATAGGAATTATCTCTCTAAACATACATAGCAAGGACTTGAACTTGGTGCCCCATAAAAAAGAAAAGAAAAAGGAGTAATGACTTTATTGCTATTTAAGCAGGTTCAAAATAAATCAGTAATTTTTCCTGCAAGAAACCTTAATAAAATAAGAGGAGCTTTGATCATGTTGTATCCTAGAAGGCTCAGTCTTAATGGTTTGATGCAATTACTATCAGAGGGTTTCTGATTATTTTGGAAGATAAAAATAAATTTTAAACCTAAACTGCCAAGTGAAAGGCATCATCTTGTGAAAATTCCATAAATTGAATATGAATAGGAATGATGTCATACAAAAAGGAACTAACACTAACTCAGGGTTTCTCACTTGGTGGGTGGTACTTAAAAAGAATACCAGTAACTGGGTTCCAGCTACAGAGCAATTACATCACAATCTAGGGTGCTTGAGTTGGGGAATCAGTATTTTTTTAAATGTTCCCCAGGTGATTATAATATGGAGCTAGAGTTTTGAAGCTTTGTATCTGGTAAACAGGCAGAATATAGTAAAGGAAGAAAAACTGGCTCTGTATAGCAAAGAAGACCTTAGAATTCATATTGCATTTGTGATCATCAGAAGCCCAAGGGGAGGACCCAAAAAGTACTACTGAAGTATGCATGCTATTGACCAAATGTTCATTAAAATATTGTATACACTTTTGGCTTCTGATTATCTATCTTAAAAAGAGAAGAATGCAGAGAAAATCAGCCCATATGATAGAAGGAAATGAACAGTGTAAATTATATGAAAAAATGATTATGAAACTGGTACTACTTAACTTCAAAAGAAAACATCAAGCAATAATTCGGCAACTATTTTTAGAATTATGAAGAAATTTCCTGATG